GGGGGGGGGGGGGGGGGGGGGCGGTCGAAGGATTTTTTACCTGCATATAGATGACAGAATAATGGTGTGGTTGGGTGGGAGAATTGGAGAAAGGCCAGACAAACTCGATTTGGGGTCCCGTTTGATCCAGGTCAAGTATAACATTTATGTGGGAGCTAGGGGGTGTTCCCCAAAACAATTTGAATCTAGAGGCTCTTAAAAGATTTGTTTTACCCAACCACTCACAAAAACTTTCAAAACATGTAACTGGGAATCATGGATATTCAATATATAAAAACCTTAAATTTGCATTTGAGGCAGCAAAGAATATTAGGTTCTCCCACTCTAATCTCTTTTGGGGAGCTTCGCTCGCCACAATTTTACCTTCTTTTCCATGCATTACCCCAGCACGTAAGTGGTTTGTGAGGAAAATAGGAGGGTCTGGAGTCCTCCCGCGTTTATATTTTCGATGCTCAATTAATGACAGCATTTCTGGAATTTTCTGGAGCATCCACAAGGGTAACGAGTAAATGAGAAGACTGTTTTAATTAAGGCTATTTTTGTTAGTTTGGTGACTGCACATTTGTGTTTTAAGAACTGCTCAAATGGGTTTACAACTGCATATTTTGTGTAGAACTGCACGTTAAAATAAACCCTGGAAAATGACTTCTTCTAGTTCTTTTACTTTGATCGTCGAATAGAACAGCACGTGACTACGACGGCTATTATTAAAATACAAGTTGTTTGTATACTTTTGAATGGCGATTGGCGACATATAGTGTTTATTTTTCATTCGTCGCTGTCCCTCGCATCTCCATGTTTCTCTTGACTAAATTCGGGAAACATTGAGACTTTTGGGAAAACTAAACTACCGGTAGGAATTTTGTCTCCGCTGGTCAGTAAATTGCGGGCGCTCGCGAAAAATTACTTTACAAATTATTAAAATGAGCAAAAAAGTTTTTGGGCTTCTTTTTTGGGAAGAACGAATTATCCCTGGAACATCGTCCCCGATAAAGATCATTCGCGGTATCCCACCAGCCTCGTCCCCAGGCTCTAATAAAAAAATTTCATGCGAGTCACTATATGAAAGGTTTACATGAAGTAGTGCATCATATTATAGGCGCGCAAAGGGGTGCCTCAATTCAAGCCCATAACTCCCTGCGCGTGTTCGTCGAGGCAGGTATCCCACGGGGATCAATTTTAGAGTCTGCTAATTCCACTTTTTTAATGACGTGCCGGAGAGCCTCCGAAAAACTACTCCCTTGTTAATACGCTGATGTTCAAATAGTTTCTTCCTCTAATGATTAATTAATATTACTGGATTTAAAGATTTATTGGAATGTCTCGGGATCTTGTTAGATGAGAATCTTAAATGGGATGAACATATTGAAAAATATTTTAAAAAGTCGGAACTGGCATTGCAATTTTGCGTAGGGATAAGCACTTTATCCCTGCGCATATACTGCAAATGATCTACAATGCCCTGATTCAGTCTTATTTTGATGACAGCTCTCCACTATGGGGCAATTGTGGCAAACGACTACTTGATAAACTCAAAAAATTTCAAAATCAATTTGAAACCAAACTTGAAGGCCAGTCTCAGTTTTTTCACGCATGCGACGGGCGCTCAATCAGTCAAAACACGCCTTGAAAAGAAAACCTTTCGGCAGTTTCTGAAGGTATAAGATTTCGCTGTCCTTTACTCATAGTGTTAAATCATTAATTGCACTCCTTAATTCCGTGTGATTTACCTGGTTACCAAGGCAGCCGATGCGCGAGCGTGTTCAGCGTGGACTGGATTCTATATTTCTCATGCGTTATCAGCTTGGGCGGATCTCAAATTTCATCGATTTGCGTCATCATTTTCAAAACGTACTGGTTTATGGTTTATGCAGTGCGTCCACGTGTATAGCCAGATTCGGTGCGTTTTTAGAAACTTTCCACTCAGGATGGGTACAGTTGGACCTATCCGAAACAAATTGTTTGCGGATATTAACAAATCCAGTACTATATATTGTATAATAGTGATTGGACGGAGTCTAGATGAACGCAAATTCGTCGAGTTATACACTAGAATTCGTACTGATGAATGTGCTCGAATTGAGGGTCTTGCGCCAATGCAGGTACGGTTCCCAATTCATTCGGTGCCCGGAATGCACTTTGCCGAACGGACATTTTGCCGGCGACGGATATTTTGTCGAACAGACATTTTGACGAACGGAATTTTTGTCGAACAGACATTTTGCAGAACGGACAATTTGCCGAAAATAGAGATATTTTCTGAACGTTAAAGGCTCGCTTATACTATCAAAATTTTATAAAAAGCATGTTTATAACCGGTACGATGTTGCAATGCTGACACTGCTCTTTCGGCAGTCACGCGAGATGGATCAGGTGAATGCTCTGATGGTTGCTGCCATAAGGTTTCCACTTTGCTTAGAAAAAGACAAGGTCAAAACCGGAAGTAAACGCGAGATGCACAATCTATCTACTAAATCTATCTACTGTTCTTGACAACTAGAACATAATTCGAAAATGGTCTATTGAATGCATGTAACGTTTATATAGCAAGTTAGCAACATTTATTCGAATTTGCAATAATAGAAAAGCTTGAGCAAGCGACACGTACGCCAATCGGAAATCAATCAAGCCTCTATTGATGGCGACAGCCGTTCTTTTTTGAATCAGTGAACTCTAAGTAAACTGGAACGATAACTCCAGTGACCAAGTCCTATGATTGGTTGAAGCCAAGCGAGGGAGCCGCGCGGGATAAATTAACTTTCAAAAGGACTAGGGAGAGTTTCGAGGAGCGGGAAATTCAGTCAAAAGTTTGTTTTTGCGCGAAAATTAGCAAGAAAAAGTACCTTTTTTATCAAAAGGCTTCAATTTTAAAGTTTCCTGGATAGTTCTAAGTATTTTATGTCCACTAACAGCAAAAACTTCCTGGGTAACAGTTCCCTATTCAAAATATTACACAAGTTTGAACGTGCCGAAAAAAGTTTGCATTTTGACTGCTGAAAAAATAACTTTAAAACTGTTCTGCGTTCTGGAAACATGTTTTGTATTAAATTTCAAGTATTGTTGAAAGTTTTTAGCGTTTTTCCTTGTTGACATACAGCTTTTCGGCGGCATATTTTCGATGCCTTACGCATATGGCGGCCATCATGAGTGGCTTCAAAGATGGGCCAAGTTATCGTTATAGTTCCCTTAGAGTTCACTGGTTTGAATTGAATTTTATTTCATGGTAACCAAAATGGTAACGAACGTGTAACTGAATTGCCGTTGACCCTTTTTTATTTCAAGAAAGAACTGCTGACGCCATCACTCGCCATTTATAACGGCTCGATTGACTTGTTGTCACAGATTAAGAATATACATGCAGATTTAGATCGAGGACGCGGACGTCAAAGACGACGTGAAAATGGCATGTTGTGCCCATGTATGGATATGTCACGCCATTTTCACGTCGTGTTTGACGTCCGCGATCTAAATCTGACTGATATACTTAATCTGTGGTGTTGTCAAAAAGGTTGCTATAAGCTCACTCAGAGGCGGAAATTCACTTTTACCAGTGGGAAGGCAAGGCCTCCTGAATTTCCGACAAAAGTTTAAAATTTCCGACAACATCCCCCCCCCCCCCCCC